GATAGTTGTCAATATCATTCCACCTGTCTAGTAAGTAAGGCCACGATAATCTCAGTAATATTAATCCAATGATTGTGGGAATGACCACAGTGCGGTCCTAACACTAAGATTCCAAAATTTCCGATGTAAAAAGGTTTCTCTAAAAATGTGTTACACTTTAGGTTTCCTGTCTGTCAGCTGTCTGCACCTGTCACCTGCCTTAATCTGTTTACTTGACATTTCAACCTGCTGCCAGTGTCTCACTATCAGGGATTCTGCAGTGTGAACTTTACACCGTCTTACCCTGAAACTGAGTTTCCTGTGACCGCTCACAAGAAAACTCAGCAGTTTGTATGCAAGGGTAAAGCCTCTGCAGGAACCTGGCTGGGTCGCTACAGGAAGAAAGAGAGATCACAATTATTAAGAACCTCATCTGCAGTTGGGAAACAACTATGAAGTTCACAAAAAATATACAATTGTTTCATGTTCTATAACTGATTCAATTCACATGTATAAAATGAACCTTGATTGTTTTTTAACATACAAAATTCTGATAAATGTAAAACATGTTCTAACGCCCCCTGCAGTGTGACTCTAGAATTCCTTCAGAATCCAATTTTTTAACATTGTATTACTTGTACCTAACGTACCGACTTCCCACTCTTGGAAAACCTACTTAGTTTTTGGTAATATTTCTATTTCATAGTTTACAGTTCTTTCATTTTGACTTAATAAGGAGAATGAACCACAATTTCAACCAGTGATGTATTTCAGGGTATACACAGTATAATATTTTATTTTTTATATAGTATACCCACTTCTCAGTCTGTATGGGCTGAGATTTGATCTCAGTAGGTATGATTGGTGAATACTAAGTCAAATAATATAAACTTTCTACGTAAGCCTTATATAATCCACATCTGAGCGAACTTAATGCTAAATGTAATTTAACGTTGCGTAGGGTAATAATTATGTCCTCAACTGTTAAATTATATTGACACAAACGCACATCCACCGTGCCCTTCTCTCCCGTCAGTCCAAGGACCTTCGGGCGTCAGTTTTATGCAGCTGGATGGAAAAAAAAAAGAAAAGCTCAGTAACAGGTATCACGATCTGTGGTTTTGTAGCGCGGCGAGAGTGGAAGTGTACATTTGACTCTTCTCCGTGACAGCAGATCAATGAAGCCCCGAGCGCAGCTAGAAATGAATTGATTGTCACCAATAAAACTCCAATTAAACAAAGGAACAAGCCTCGGAGGCAGGCAGCTCTCATCTTCTCATCAGTCCTCGGGGAAAGATTGGAAAAGTGAGGTCAGGGAAAGGAGTCAGATGTGGGCTAAGGCACGTTGTTGCCTTCTCTTTTTTTCCCCCCACTATCACAGAGGTGAGGAAACTGTGGATGAAAATGAGTAAAGGACAGCAGTGACTGGAGCAGAGCAGATACAGAGATGCTACCGTTGGTCCAAACCAAATGAGTAAAGGACAGCAGTGACTGGATACAGAGGTGCTACCGTTGGCCCAAACATTTCTTAATGAAGTGTAGCATTTGATAAACCATGTTCCAGAAGTCAATTCTACAGCTCACCTGACCTTTGCTCTAACGTGATAGGTTGGTGTCAAACCCCCTTACGGCTCAGGCTGTCATTCAGCTCCTCTTTGTAAATTCTTCTCCATTTGTGAGCGTCATCATTTTATAGCTGTCACTTTGGTCTCTTTGTCTGAGTCGATTTCATCTGCTCATTTGAACAGTCTTCATGTTTCATACCAGCATGTCAGCCCAGGTAGGTTGTGGGCTCTTACGTCTAAATAGCAACGCTGCTTATGGATGCTCCGGGCTGGGATGAAGCTCAAAATGAAGTTAAAGATGATTAATGTTTCCCGTTCCTGGAGAAAGTACAAGATCCCCCTTTACTCTCTCTTCTCCCCGTCTCACTTCTCTGCTAATAACATTTTCCTCACAATCTCCCTCTATCTCCCATGCTCTGTAATCTGATTGTTCTTTCTGTGATTGTGCTGTTATTGAATTCCCCGTATCATACATATGTATAAGTCCACCACAATACTTATTCCATCTCCCGCCATAATTTCCTCCAGCATCTTAGCAAACAGGGATCTCATACCTCAAGGGAGAAAACATTAATGCCATGTTGACACATGTAAGGCTCTGGTGGTGTGAACGTGGCGTCCTGGGATTGCTAAATGATGAGAAGTCGAGCCGTTGTTTTCAGTTGGAATCCTGATGACATGTATGTAAATTCTAACGGGGAGAATGGGTGGAAAATTACACATTCTACTTTTATGGTTTATTGGGTTGGAAAAACAAAAGTTGTTTGCTTTTTTTTTTGCACATATTGCAAGGCTTTATTTCCATAAACACATTTCCTTTAGAGCATTTCCTTAAGACACTTATGCCCCAGCGG